GATCGCGTCCGGAGCGGCCGTGGGAAGGGTGGGAGGGGCTGCTCGGGGGAGCGGGAGGGGAGAGGGGTTCTTCTAGGAAGGGAGAATTTGCAGGCTCGGTTTTCCCGTAGCGGTAGTGCTGCCCTTTTGATGGTCGTCCAAGGGTCCCCCGCCCCTCAGGTGCACCCGCGGAGCTGCCCGCCAGCCCTCTAAAGCCGGGGCTTTACGTGGTTCAGCCACTGCATTAAAACGCTAAAAATGCCCCTTCTCTACGGCCCTCAGCCTAAAATACATCCCTCGGGGAAGAAAGCTACACATCCCTGTCATTTGTTGGAGGAACTGCTTTAAAGGGTATGTAGCGATAGGACACGGGGTAACGGGTTCAAAGTGAAGAGCAGGTGTAGATTGGGTAGAGGGACGAAATTCTTCCCTGTCAGGGTGGTGAGGCTCAGGCACAGGTTGCCCGGAGAAGCTGTGGCTGTCCCATCCCTGGAAGTGTTCTAGACCTGGTTGAACGGGGCTTTGAACAAGCTGGTCCAGTGAAAGGCATCCCTTCTCGTGGCAGAGGGGTTGGAACTAGATCGTCTTCGAGGTCCCTTCCAACCCAAACCATTCTGTGATTCTACGATTTTCCTATTGCATTTGCCACCACCTCTCCCTGATGACTCAAATGAACCTATTCACAAAGCCTAAACCTCCTAAATGTGCTGCAGCCCACGTTTCATGGTTTCCACAGGCATCTTCTCAGTGCTCCTGAGGCTGCTCAAGTCAAATTCACTTTTCATAGAAATGGTCAACAAATGCACTGAAATGGATGCAATTTCAACTTTTTTCCAATTTATTTTCAACCATTACAGAACATATCTTCTTCTCTTCGCACAATGAGCATGTAAAAAACTGCAAAAGCTTTTACAACTACGTACGTGTTTTCATTTTTTTAGGTCTCTTGCATTGGGAAATTGCAGTTGTGTTGTGTCATTACAGATGACCACAGTTTGTGCTCTTCTGTCCAATATTCTTTGCCACACTTTTGATGGATTTAACATCTTTCTCTTTTTATGTTTTGAAATACCGATAAAATTGAGCACTTTCTCACCATTATTACCAGGTTTCTTACTAAGTAGATTAAACATCTAGCTACAACATTCTGAAGATGATACATAGAAACCATCAGTGCAACTTACTCTTTATTGAAGTGCCAACATCTGTGATGTCTGAAAACCTCCACAAGCAAAAAGAAGTGATAAACTATGGAGCTGGATTATCTCCTCTGGTGGTAAAATCAACAAAAGGAACTGAACAAGAGGGAATTTTGTTACAGTCAGGGCGTGAACACACTTCCTAAGATTAGACACGCAGGTCTTGACTAGGAACCAGGACCTAGAAGCCACAAAACAGTATGGATCAACTTTTTTAGACTGCTTTTGATACATAGTTTCTAGTCCTGATCACAGTCAAAGTTACACAGACAAAAGTCAAACTCATGTGTATAACTTTGCTCCAGAGTGGATGGGTCTCAGCTGCAAAGTTATCATTTTTTCCAAATAGTACTGCACTGTATGGGCATGTCTGGCCTTTGCAGAACAAGTCACATTTCTTAGTTCAGACCTCAGCTGGAGGTTATTTGGACTAACCTTTTCCCATTTCCTCAGAAGCAGGTCCCAAAGGCCCAGGGAAGTTTAATCTCCCCCTCGTACACACCTTTTGTCTCTCTGAGCTGCTAACTATTGCCACAGGACAGTGCTCAAGTGTGTGCAGAGGATTCATGCAGACTAATATGTAAATAAATATATATAGATAAATTTGAATTTAATGTATTGTCTGTGTCTGTGACTGAATATAGGTTGGAGAATCTGATGCCAGGGTTATCATTTTGCCAGTTTCAAGTCGTTTTGTTGGGTGGTAGGACATGTCATGTGCAGGACTTGCTCCGACTTCTGAAATCTCTAGCTAGAGATGGGATGGAGGGAAAGGAATTTTATACAACCTCTGGTAAAGTAAAGCTAAAAGGGAATTCTCCAGCTTTGACCAGGAAAATTCTCCTTCTCATATTGAATTCCAGCTACAGAGAATTTTCAAGTCTGTAGAGCCAACTGTGTTTTATAGAGTACATGAGCATGAAATTGACTTCTGGTCTGTAAAATCACACTATTTCTATATTAAGGGGCTATTTACAGAGAGGTTGGGATTAGATCTGCAGCATGTGAAACTGCCAAGGAAATTGCTGGTGACATCTCAAACGTGGTCCTACAACTTGTGCTCTTCTTTTTTTTTGGTTCTCCTCTGATGTTACGTGTATTTTAAATGAGCTGTGCAAACCACTGTTCAGAATGGTTTGCAGTGCTTCCATTGGTGTGTCTGCTTTGCCTTTTCCTTGCCACCTTGTTTCCCCTGCAGAGTTATCTGTAGTCAAACAGATGTTTTAAAAGACTTCCCAAGATGAGGAATATAACCACAAAACAACCCCATATGCAACTAAAGAACATTTGTTGTTACACTTTAGAAAATTAATGTGATTAATATGCAGTCCTGTGTGGAACTTGTTGCCGCCTGTTAGTTTACTTTCATTAAGTATGTTTGTTGGTTTGCCCCAGTTACTCCCCACTATCCCGATATGGTTTGTTCCCAGTTGCCTGTCATTGTAAACCTCTCCCCTCTTTCCAGATTGTTCCCCATCCATCACTTTGGTCCTACCCCCAAGCCCTATCAGTCTATGTACACCACACCTTTTGTTCTGGTTCCTTCCCTGTTCATCACCCCTTACTCGATGCCCTATTGGTTGTATAGCTATCCTCCCTCCCCCAAGTCCCTACCATTGGATTTGTGTATTGTAACCCCTTCCCACAACACCTCCCCTGCTGCCATATTATTGGTTGTTGTATGAGCCGCCCACGGGCTTTAAAACCTGGAGCACAGAGGTGCCCAGGGTCTCGGCTCGGACTTTCTCCTCAAGATCCCAGCCCTGTCCCTCATCGCCTTCTCCCTGCACCTGCCGGAATAAACTTGTTCCTGGGAAATTGGAGGGCTCCGAGCACTCTCTCTCCCTTTACTGCACCTCGTGTCGCCCTGCATACTATAGAGCCCAAGCCCAAAGGAGCTCTAGAGGTTCCAGGTCGAGCCACACAGTGCTCACCTGGTTCCCCACTCCTGCCGCCGACGCTTGGCACAAGCTAGCCGGGGCGTGAAGGGCCGAGCGGGCAGCGACAGGAACTGACCTATGTATTCCCATTGTCTTCTTCCAAAATAGTTGACAAATTAGCAGTTCACTTTACAGCAAGCAAGGTTACTTGTACAAATGATACCTTGCCTATTAACCTAAATCTCCAGACACCATCAAAATGTGATTATCATTCATTCTTGTGATATTCTTATTCTGTAAATATACATTTCTTGTTTGAATAGAACAGAGCTTGCAGTGTTCATGTCCACCTAATTACTCAGTTCTCTCACCTGACTTTGCTTTGTTTTTTACTTTCTTTTTTATTGTGGTAGGCATAATGAATTCTTGGTTGAAATCTCTTCCTGCATCTAGAGGAGCTCTTGTGTGGTTTTGTTGCTTGGTTCGTTGTTTTAAAACAAGCAAGCCCTGTGAAAAATTTCTAAAAGGAAACTAAGAAAAGTATGCCATCACATGCAATGTCTTTTTTCCTTCTGTTACCTGAACTCTTTACCTTCCTGGCTGTAATCAGTGACATTCAAGTTACTAAGAGCATTTAATAGGATTGATAGGTGAGATTCAGTTCAGAATTAGAGTTTACAGTTGGTGGCTTTAGAAAAAAAATAATGTATCTGGCCTTTACCTTTAGCTCATTGATTTCACCTGGAAAATAATAATACATAATGTTGCTAAAGAAGAAAAAAAGACATCATAAACTTGGGGTCTGTTGACTGAAGGTTTTATTTATGGAAAATATTATTTAAATAATTCAATAGAAAAATGTTTACTTGCCACATCAAGGACCGAATTTGAGTATTTAAGCAATTAGATGATTATTTGAAATTATTTGTTTTCAACCCAAGAATCTTGAAATGCTTTTAAAATATTCATATAATAAAATTTCTCAGCATCCCTGTGAGATTCTGTGCCCTACTTTGTAGATGCATAAAATGGGAACCCACAAGTTCAAGCAACTTGACCAAGTAGCAGAGAAATATATCAGTGTAGGTGGAATCATGACGCTGCTCCTTAGCCACACCGGAGCTCTGGGCTAGCTCTGTGACGCCACTCCGGCACGGGCAGCGGCCAGGAGTGGGGAACCACAGGGGAAAGGCGATTCCACTGCGGGACCTACAGAGCTCCGACCCCTGCCAGGCTCTGCTAATTCAGGTGTCGTGGGTAATGATGAAAGGAAGGAGGAGGCTCAGTCTGCTGTACTTCCTAGGAACAAGTTTACTAGGGTGAGGGAACGGAGACAAAGGTTCGGACTGGGATGACAGAACAGGAGAAAGAGCCCCGAGCACCTCTGTGCATTGGGTTTTATTCAGGGGTGGGCACAATTCAGGGTCCAATCAGGGATCATAGAGGGAGGAGTAAGGGGAGGAGATTACAATATTGGGGACCAATGGGGATACAACGAGGGCAACGACATAGTAACCAGTAATGTATCGAAGAAGGGATGAAATACACAGAAGGAGCTGGAAGGAGAGGTGGGGTTTACAATGATGGATAGGGGAGATGGGGCAGGGTAAAGACAACTGACGGGGAACTTTCAGGAAAAAGGGGAGGGGTTAACAATATTGACAACTAGGGCTAAACCATTACACAACAACAGGGGGGAAACAAGAATGTACCAACAAATCTTAACAAAATCAAATAAATGAACTGCAACAGAATCAGGAAGATCTTCAGTCCTTAGTGAGCCAGCTGAGCCCAGGTGGCCAAGAAGGCCAATGGCTTCCTGGCCTGGATCAGCAATAGTGTGGCCAGCAGGACGAGGGCAGTGCTCATCCCCCTGTACTCAGCACTGCTAAGGCTGCACCCCAAATCCTGTGTCCAGTTCTGGGCTCCTCATGACAAAAAAGACATTGAGGTGCTGGAGTGTGTCCAGAGGAAAGCAGAGGAGCTGAGGAAGGGTCTGGAGCACAGGTCCTGTGAGGAGCAACTGAGGGAGCTGGGGCTGTTTAGTTTGGAGAAAAGGAGGCTCAGGGGAGACCTCTCTACCCCCCTGAAAGGGTGTTATAGCCAAGTCCCTCCTCACAAGCAACCAGGGAGAGGACAACAGGAAATGGCCTCAAGTTGCACCAGGAATGGTTTAGACTGGATATTCGGAAAAAAATGTTCACTGAAAGGGTAGTCAAGTTTTGGAACAGGCTGCCCAGGGAAATGATGGCATTGCCATGCCTGAAGGTACTTAAAAGATGTGTAAATGTGGAACCTGAGGACATGGTTTAATGATGGACTTGGAAGTGCTGGGTTAGCACTTGGACAGAATGATCTTAAGGCTCATTTCCAATCTAAACTATTCTATGATTTCATAATCTCATTATGAAACTGTTCTTACATTAACACTTCTTGATGAATGGGAATGTGAGTCTGAGTGTTGAATACTGAATTATCTCTATACAACTTAATGTATCATAGGGAAATGTCTGAGTCCAGGGTCTGTGATGAATCTGTGTGTTATTCAGAAGGCCTGAGAATTATTCACCAGTTTTGACAGATCAGATGAAAATGCCATACAGAAGTTCAGTTACTTTTTAAATGACTTTGTACACTTCCCAAGGGATAACTTTGTCTTTAAATTTGTCTTAAAGATTATTACTGAACATCTATGTAAGATTTCTGAAAGCAGTAAAAAAAAAAAAAAAAAAAAAAAAAAAAAAAAGAATAAAAGCCGTATAAAACCAAACACAAAACACAAAAATGTAGAGAAGAAAAGATCCTCACATTATGTTCTATTTCAATTTGCTGTACTGAAGAGGACTTCAAAACCCTTCCTAGAAAGGTCCTGGGAAAGGACCCATAAAGCTTCCTAATGGCTGGGATTTCATATCAGCCAAATATAACACTCAGATGAGTGTTTTGCCTTCGTACCCAGTATTTTTTTCTTCCAGATTAGCATCTTTCTGCAGAAGATCTCTAGCACTTCGCTAATATTCAACAGAGACATTCTGTCCCATTTTCCTGTCACTGATGTAGGACTGCATGAGAGGAGTGGGATAATACCTCCACCCAGAACAGCATGAATGAAGTGATAAAATATACTCAAAATAAGTAAATACATCATGGAAAGCTATTTTTTATGCTGTATTAAACATCTTCAAAGAGCTAGGATACCCTAGGATACCCTCCCAACAGGTTCCTTCTGATGTCAACAGAGATCTCAGCCCTTTTGCACTCCAGTAAAATTCATCTCCTGGTTATTTTATTACTGGTTCTTCAGTGACATGACGTAACGATCCTCACCCACTCAAGCTCGATTAGAGATGGCTACATTAAATAAATCAAGTATGGGTTTTTATGATGTAAATAAATCCCTAACTCCATGTGCCCATACTGGTGGATTCCATAAAGGTCTCCAAGTTGCTCCCTCCTTAAGTTCTCCAGGTCTGATTCAAGTGTGATTAAAAAGGAAAGTTTCCAAACTCAGCCTGCCACCTCCACTGTGGCAGCTGCAGTCACTGCCAGCTCGTCAGAGCTCACATTCAGGTGTTTGACCAGCACTTGGGGCCTTTGGTACACAGCTCATCTCCCACAGAGTCCATTAACAAACCAAACCAGCTGTCAGTGGGCTGGTTGTTTAGTGATGCCATACCAGGTGGTTCCTCAAGCCCAAGGTTCCCTTCCTCCCCAGGAAAGGGCCTAGGAACTGGCAAAAGCACGCGTTCAAATGACCTCCAAGCCTCCAGAAGCAGTTTCTGTTCTTATCAGGCTCTAAAGCAGGTGAAGCACTTTCCTCGCGGTCAATTTGCTCTGTCTGCAAGGTTCCAGCAGCTCTGGAGGGCAGCAGCCTGCTCCGTTTCTGAGCTGGACTGGAATCAAGTGCCCCTCCAGGGCGCTGACGCTGAAAGAGAACAAAACCTTAGCATTTTCTGTGGCACTAATATGAACATGGCACTTGGTTTTTGCCACCCCAATGACAGCACACAAGGATACACAAAACACTCCTGCAAAGGCTGCAATATGCATCCAATGGTGCTATGGGCCATTCCCACCTAAGTGCATCTCCTCAGAGAAAAGACGTCAGCCCTGAACTCCGACAAGCTGCTGCACCAAAGAAGAGCCTGTCCCAATGGCTTGAAAATGAGGAGACCAGTTCCCAATTCTAGCAGGCTGCTGCTCACACTGTGAGCATTTCTGAACTATTGCTGTGAACACCCACAGAGATTCAAAACCTTCAGTATTCCAGAACATCGAGTTACATGAAATTGTCTAAGGTTTCCACTCCTGTGCATTTGTTTCAAAGTGTGGATACTAAATGCAAGAAGCAAGCAGAGAGCACAGTGTGTGTGTGAAACTAAGTCACACAAGGTTCTCACTCTGGCCTGAGAAAGCATAAGGTGGAATCCAAACAGTCCTTGGAGAAGGACAACAACCTTCTCCAGGTGCTATTTAGGATACTTGTTGTTTACTTGCAAGAAAAATCAAGTAGTGATGTTCCAATTGCCCAGTAACAGTGATGTGTTGCTTTAATGACCAATTAGAGTTTTACCACTCGGCCCTGTCTATAAAAGAAGAACTGGAATAATAAAACTTGCTCTCTTGGACAACCCATGAGAGAGTCTGTGTCGTACTGCCTCGCCGTTCCTAAAATAGTGCGACAACAAACTCTTGAAATCCTTTCTAGAAGTACCCGTAAAATGTTTCAAGATTCAGATTCATGCTGATGTGTTTGTGACTGTGTTTGGAGTTGACTGGGAACTGTGTCTAAAGTGGTGAATCAGAGAATTACGTTTCTGGGGACCCCCTTCTTTATCCCTAGTGATCACCCATACTGGCGGTTGGAGGTTTGTTTTCCCTTTTCTGGGTTTTTATTAGGAGAACCAGTGTGTTATAAATGAGGCTCGAGACTTTCTGATGTAATTAAAGCCTGGCCTGTCTGAGCTGCAGACGCAGGCAGGCTATGCTACAAACCAAGACAGCAACGTACCTAGACAAATTCCCAAACAGAAAAGCCACTGCTAACACTTAACACCCTATTTTATACCCTCCCTTAGACCTGGATTGGCCCATTTTGGATCCATTTCAGGATTGGTTGCTTTCTTGGGCTCTGATTGGTCCATAGCCGCGTTCATCCTGGTCCAGTCATTTTCCCAGGATGTTGAATGATTGGTGGATGTTTCTTCCAATCATTACTCGTGGTGCTGATGGTATCTTCATTCCTTCATGTTCTTGAATGTTCTATTCCAGGCCCCCCATAAGCCCCCTTATATTTTGTACCAGTCCCCCATTCTATCCACCCGACCCCAATCCAGTATCAACCCCGAACACTCCAAAATCCTTAACAACCACCTTAACAACTTTACAACATAATTAAAGATAGTTAACTTTTATCATAATATCAATTAACTCTCCAACAATAACAACTTTCATTAACCTCCCAAGTTCAACGAAAAGATCCCTTATAACAATTCCCCCTTCTAAAACTTTGATTGGGCTGTTAGCCCACATCAATAGTCTATTACACAGTCTTCTTATCTATTTGGTAAAATTTTCACAGCTTCTGGTTGTTTTCATATATTTCTTTCACTGCTTCCAAGCCTTGGTCTTCTTCTGGGTTCTCAGTTTTCATCACCTGGAGGTTTTCAATTCTTTCATCAGTCAACTTCTTTTGTAAGTTCAGTTCAAAGGAGATTTGGACAGCATTTGTTACAGTCCGGATCATGCAAGGAATTAGACAGGGAAGGAAAACAATACTTATTAGTGCACCACCAGCAATTACCAACCATTTCTTCCACCACTCCCCATTGAACAAATTGTCCCACCAATTTGTTTTTATCAAGGGTGTCCATTATTGAGCTGGTACATGGGCTAATTTTCTTATGTTAGTAGTGATGTTGGTAATTACTTCACTATGGTCATCGATTTCAATGCAGCACTCAGATGAATTAAATTTCCCCCACACACCACCCTCTTTGGCTAACAGATAATCCAATGCTAACCTGTTCTGATAGATCATTGTTCTCATTTGCCGAGATTGGGCTGAGAGTAAATCGATGGCCAAGGACGATTGGTTTGAAATAATTTCTACTAATGCCTGTAGACAAATTATGCGATTCAGATTGTATATAGGGGTTCTGTATCCCCATGACCCATCCTGAGCCCATGTAGCAGGGCCATATGTAGCTATTATCCTCTCAGGAGGCCACTCCACCTTTGAGTAACCCCAATTAAAATCTCTCTCCTTTTCCTCCTTAACTCATTGTAGAGTGGGATCCCTAGATGTTTCTTTTCAGTCCTGGGGAGTAAGAAAAAGGAAGGTTTAATGATCCCCAGGGTGCAACTTCCCACCCAGTTCTTAGGAAGTATTGCATAAGCTGACTTTCCACATAACCAGAATAGACTCTTTGGGGCTTTCCAATATTTATCTGTTTTTACTGAAGTTATACTGCTTTTATTCCAAAACTCAGAGATTTGTGACTTATCTAGAAAGGGGGTTTCTTCTTTAGTAATACATTCATACAGTTTTTCTCTCTTTACCAGTACACAACCTGTTCTGTGCTTTCTTGCCTAATGCAAATGTGGTGCTTTTGGAATCCACCATTGATTGGTATAATTTCTTACCAGATACTTTTTACAATGAAGCTCTCCCACATATACTGTATACCCAGGACCTCTTCGCCACAAGCATTCTTCTCCAATCACCTTGGATCTCAAACTCCAGGTTTCTTCCTCTGGTCTATTATCTGGTCCTGGCTCTTCTTTGTCTAACAGCTTTAAAATTTCCTGTGGGTTTAAAGGTATTCCTTCCCATGGCCATATTTCTGCCATCCTTGTATCACCACAAATCAAACAATTTGTTACATTAAATTCTTGACTGATTTTCTCAACCAAATCCGGAAACAAATTTTTACCTCCCACTAATTGGATGTCAGGAGTCCTCTTAACCACCCCTTGTATTTCTTCCTCTTTAATTAGATCAGACTCATAAATTTGTTTATTCCCTCCCAGGTTTGCCGGGTTTTTCTCTGTACATATCCATTTTTCTTTCATAGGGCATTCTCCCAGTAGTTTCTGTTTTCCTATATTTTCAAGTTGCCAATAGGTTTTCCCATCCTCTGTGTTCATTGACTGTGAAGTGTTGACACAGGAGGGGCTCGGGTTTGTATGCACTCTGAGGACGGCTGATCGAGCACCCCCTGCATATAATGGGTAGTAGCACCTATCACAAGGGACAGCCTCTCCCATCACAGTGTTCATCATCAGGAGGTCTAGAATCCATGGAAGTCTGGTATAGGGCGCTCTGTCATTCTTACTCAGAGAACTCATGTCTCTTACTCAAAAAGTGTTTCCCTACCCGGTCTTGCCTCCCTTTCTCCTCGCCCTGGATTGGTGTTCTTACCAGCTACCTGGTTGCAGGGTTTCGAGATTCCCTCTGTGTCAACTGGTTTCCTCTCCTGTTTCTCTTTTGGGGTCGAATTTGCTAAGCACCTGGGGGAATGTTCTGTTTCTTGTACTCAGAATCTGCATAAGAAACACCAGAATCTCAGTTTTTACTAAGATACACAATTTAACTAAGTATTCAATGTCCATTACAACTCACAAATCTTAACTGAATATTTAGCTTCCATTACAACTCACAATCTTCAAATAACTTTTTCCCAACACTATCGTTATAAGTTCCATCTTTTTACCTGTCCCTTTCAGGTCAGTCACCTGGGGTAAGGAACTCAACCGTGGCAGAAACAGGCCCTTTTACTCTTGACATGTGAGTCCATCCTTTCTCTTAGGTATTAATTGCTGTTTCTGTTGTCAGAAGGACCTGGAAGGGACCCTCCCACTTTGGAGTCAATGGTTGTTCTTTCCATGTTCTAATTAATATCCAATCTCCAGGCAGAAATTTATGAATCTTAAAGTCCATTGGTGTTGTCTGAGGAAGATATCCCTTTTGTCTTAATTCTTCCAACATGGTAGCTATGGTTTGTACATATTTCTTTATGTGATGTTCACCTTCTTCATAGGTTCCTATATTATTTGGAGTAGTCAAAAAGGGTAATCTGAATATCATTTCATGTGGGGAGATTCCCAAATCTGCTCTAGGTTTTGTTCTTATCCGCATCAGGGCCATTGGGAGGCATTTTAACCAATTCAATCTTGTTTCTTCCGTTAGTTTTGTGAGAGTGACCTTTAACACTTGATTCACCCTTTCCACCCGGCCTGAGCTTTGCGGCCTCCACGGAGTATGGAGTTTCCATGTTATCTGTAGTGCATTGATTGTTTGATGTAATATTTTTGCTGTAAAATGGGGGCCCTGATCTGAATCTATGGTGTTAACAATTCCATATCTTGGTATAATTTGTTCCAGTAAGATCTTACTTACAATCTCAGCCGTCGCTTTGGTGGTAGGGTATGCCTCCACCCAATGAGTCAAATGATCTACTATCACTAGTAGATATTTGAACCTTTGAATCCGAGGTAGCTCAGTAAAGTCTATTTGTATACTCTGGAAAGGTCTCCTGGCCAACTCCCTTCCTCCTTGTGGAAACTTTCTCATTACTTTCCTATTAATTCTTTGGCACATTGTACAGTCCCCAGTTATAATCTTTGCAATTTCAAAGGCATCAATACAAACATATGTCCTTAACATAAGGCTTGAGTTCCCCAATGGGTTGAGGCATGTAAATTCTCAAATATTTTCCTTGCTAGAGTCTTATTTAACACCTGTCTCCCATCAGGCAGCCTCCATTCCCCCCTCTCATTCTTAATAGCACCGTGCTTCTGTAGTCCTTCCTGCTCTTTTTCCGTGAACACTGGAACTCCTAAGTCCTCCCCATCATGATGGTTTCCATCTTCACTACTCCCTTCTTTTATTTCTGCTATATGAAATACTTTTTCAGCATCATCCACAGCCACCTCTTTGGCGATCCCGTCGGCCAGCTCATTTCCTCTTACTTCCCTTGAATTTCCCTTTTGGTGTCCTCTCACGTGCACAACCGCTGTTTCTGAAGGGCCTTGCAGAGCTCCCAACACCACCTTTATCAGTCCCTCATGGATTCAAGTCTTCCCTTTTGAGTTTGTAAATCCTCTCTTGGCCCAAACTTTCCCAAATGTATATGTGCATACTTGGAGTCTGTATAGATTGTTCCAGTCTTTTTGTTGTGTCATTTCAGTCCCTTTAGCAAAGCATACAGTTCACAGCATTGTGCTGACCAAGTAGAGGGTAGTTTTCTTTTTTCAATTACTGTCATACTTAGTCCATTTATCACTGAATGTCCTGACAACCTTTTTCCCTTCAGTACTCTCGATGAACCATCGATGAAGACTATTTCCCCTTCTGGTAAGGGGTATTCATAAAGATCTTCTCTAGCCTTTGTTTGAATTTCAGTGGTTTCTAAGCACCAGCATTCCAGTTCACCCTTAGGTTCCCCATACAAAAACTGTGAGGGGTTTTGGACTCTTGTGGTGGCTAATTCCAAATTTTCACTGTTATTCAAAATTAATTCATACTTTAACAGTCTGTTGTTCGAAATCCAGTGACTGGCCTTTTTACTCAGTATTGATTTTAAATCATGTGGGGTACATACTCTAATTTTGTTTCCAAATGTCAGTTTGTAGCTGTCCTCCACTAGGGCTACAGTAGCCGCTACAGCAGCTGCTACAGCTTGCAAACAAACAGGCCAACCTCTTACCACTAGATCAAATAACTTTGAAATATATGCCACTAGTTTTCTGACTCCACAACATTCTTGAACCAAAACTCCATATGCAATTCCTTCTTCTACATTCACAAATAATTCAAACAATCGATTCAGGTCGGGTAAGCTGAGTACTGGGGCAGTTACTAATTTTTCTTTTAACTTCTTTAATCTGTTTTCATCCTCTTCATTCCACGTTACTGGCTCTCCCCCTGCTAATTTGTCATATAAAAATTTTACCAACTTGGTATGGTCTTTTATCCGTAATTTACAATACCCAATCAATCCTCATAGTTTTCTTATATCTTAGTTTTCGGAGTTGGTAGTGATATTATTCCCCGTATTCAATTTGAGTTAAGTTTTTATATCCCTTCTCAGTTATATGTTCTAAATACTTCCCCTCTGATTCTACGAACTTCAATTTCTTTTTGGATACCTTTAAACCCTCCTCAGCCAGAAAATTCAATAATTTAACGGTGATCTCCTGGACTTCATTTTTCCATTTCCCTGAGATCAACAGGGAGTCCACATATTGCAAGACTTGCATGTTTCCTTCTGGGATAACCCTCCCATCAATTTCTCTAAGGCTTGCTCAAACAAATTTGGTGATTCTGTAAATCCCTGGGGAAGCCTTGTCCATTGTAACTGTTGTTTCCTTTCGGTCTCCTCATTCCACCACTCAAAGGCAAACCACTCTCGACTGTTCTCTGCCAAAGGGCAGGACCAAAAGGCATCTTTTAAGTCTATCACACTGAAGCACTCATGTACAGATGGGATCTTATTTAACAAGGTGTATGGATCCGCCACCATAGGGTACCAGGTGACTGTTTATTCACTTCCCTCAAGTCCTGAACCAGTCTGTATGTGCCATCAGGCTTTTTGACTGCCAGTATCGGGGTGTTGTGTGGGGACATGCATGGTTCCAAAATCCCCTCTTTTATCAATTCCTTAATCACTGGTGTTAATCCCTGTCGACTTTCAGCTGACAGGGGGTATTGTTTGACCCTTATTGGCATTGTGTTAGGTTTCATTTTGACCTTCAGAGGAGATATATCCAACAATCCATGGTTGCCTTTTTCTGCCCATACTACTGGATTTATTCCTTTCTCATCTTCTTCCCTTAATACTATCATTTAACCACCATGCGTCCTCCTTCAGGTATTACCCCTATTCCCAATTGCAGTTAAGCACCCTTAACAGTACATTTACGATTGCTTACTTCAGGAATTTCTGTTACACTTGATCTATTTGCCCCAGTATCTACTAAAAACATATATTCTTTGCTCTGAGAGCCTGTTTCCAAGTTTACCAGGGGCTATTTTTGGTGTTCCAGTTCTTCCCTCAGAGCATAGAACCCTTGACACCCCTAATCGTCGCCCCTCAGTATTTTCTCCAAAGCATCCTGTTCCTTTGCTATCCCCTCATCCATCCTCCGCTTCCTACAAAACCACTGTGTGTGTCCTTTTTCATTACAGTAATAGCAGGTTATGTACATCCATGGTGACCTCCCTTCTTTCCTGACCTCTTCTTTCTCCTTAGTTCCTCTCTTTTGATCTTCCCTGTCACCTCCCATCGGTCCTCATTTCCTCTCCTTTGCCAACTCCTCAGTTCCTTCCTCTTTTCCCATTCTCATACTCTCTCTTGTGACTGCCACCATAATCTTTGCTTTTGTTTTTGTCTTTTCTTCTTCTCTCCTCAAATATGTTTTCAGTGCCTCCCTCAATAGTTCATTCAAACCTCTCTCCTGCCAGTCATCTAATTTCTCCAGTTTTCTCCTTATATCAATCCAAGCTCTGGTGACAAACTGGACTTTTACTAACACCTGCCCTTCAGGGCTCTCTGGGTCCACACTAGAATATAACTGAAAATTTCTTTTCAGCCTTTCTAGCTAGGCAGTCGGGGTTTCGTCCTTTTCCTGCTGACTGTCAAAGGCTAGTTTTGCATTGGTAGTTCTGGGAACAGCTTCCTTTATTCTCCTAATGATCAGTGATCTATAATCCCTCATCTCTCTCCTCCCCTCTTCTTCATTTGGGTCCCAATCAGGTTGATTATGGGGCATTTTCTCTTCACCCCTTGGACCACCTCGGTTCTCCTGCTCCCAGATCCGCATGCCAGCTGCTCGGATCAATTGGTTTTCTTCAGGAGAGAAAAGTATTCCCAAAATGGAATTTAATTCCTTCCATGTGTAAATACTCAGGCCCAGGAATTGATCTAACTGGTTGGAAATGCCAATTGGATCCTCCAATAAACTTTTTATTTCCTTCTTAAAATTGTGCACTTTGGAAGCTGTGAGTGGGACATTCACAAACCCTATTCCTCCCCAAGCCCCTTCCATGGGTACCTCTCTCAGTGGCAACAACCTCTCAACTTTCTCCCTTTCCATCTGGTTCTTTCTGGCCTGGAATCCTGTATTGTAGTGATGACCTTCTAAATTCCCATCCTGCTTTTCTTGGCCCCCTGCTTCTGAGGGGGCTTTGCAACCACAACTTGACCCCAGTTCTTTTTATCTAGTCTCTTTTCCACTCTGTGCTTCTAGAGTAGCACTTGGGGTTTGGGATGTTGGTGAAAAATAAGAAGGACCACTCTGAGCGATATTTGGGGCTAATATGTGTTGAGAGATGGGATGTAATTTGGAGGAACTAGATACGGCTACCAGAGCGGCTGAAGATGGTGTGGGGGTGACCAGAGAAAATTGAAGTTCTGGGGTGGGTTCTGAGGAGGAATTTAAAGGAACTGGGGATGAAATACCTTCCATACAGGAGACAGGAGGGATAGACCCGATGGGTAGTGGTGTAGAGTTTGTTTCTAAGGTGGGGGGTACAGGTAAGTACTTAGGTATGGCTTGAGATGGATCAGGGTAGGTGGGCAAAGGTGCAAGTTGGGGTTGAGGTGCTAGTGGTAGGAAGGAAGGGGATACTATAGGAATAGCTGGAGGTGGTGGTGGACGAAGATGATCTAGAGGATCACATTTTTCCTTAGATCTTTCTTTATAATTATCCTGTCCTTGTGACACCTTAAACAACTTAACCTGTTTTTCCCTTTTTATGTTTTCTAACCAGCATGCTACGTATTTTATCTCCTCTTCACTTTGATTCCTTTTTATATTAATGTGCTTAATTAATGCCAGGCACATCCATTCCTCCTTGGACCCATACCATGCCCAATATACTGGGCCCTCTGCGGTGCTCTCTTGCAGCCAGATCTCCATACAATATTCAATCATTTTTACTTTATCTAGACCATTTAACATGGTGTCCTTATGCTACCTGTCCAGCACTCCCGCAAAGGGCTATTCAGACGAATATCTCTTAGCAGAGTTCTCCCCTTCTTTGACTTGCTTACCCGTTTGCTAGCACACTGGCCCATAGTTCAACTATTCAGGTCATAATACAAAGGGGAAATTTAGTTTTAACAGAAAACGAGTTAAAATTTATAAAATCAGAAAAATAGCTAGAAAGGAATGTGGGAAAAACAAAACAATGTTGTAAATAAATTAACAAAATAAAGGTAAGAAAGCGTGGGAAAAGCGGAAATGGTGCCAACAAAAGTGGCTTGATAACAAGGAATGGTGTGGCAAAAACAAGGATGACCGAAAGTATATGTGGGAAAATATAAATAAAATGGCAGAATAGTGTGGGAAAATGGAAATGACCAAAGAGAAGTTCTGGCAAAATAAGATGGTGGTACTTATCAAATATCAAAAGAATTCCTAACATGAAAACTCAATATGTACAAAAACAGTAACTTAAAGAAATACAAGTAATATTTGAGAAACAGATTTGTAGTCCCTAAAATTCTAAATATTCTATTTGTAGATATAGAAAGGCACTGACAAAATCAAGTTCTAACAGAATCTAGCAATAAAAGAGGCTTCCCCCTCCCTGAGAGGATTCAGCCTCTTACAAAATGGCCGCTACCTTGCCACAAAAAGCTCCTAAAATGGCAGCTGCCCTTAAACAATTAGCAGTCCATTAATCAAAATACACCTTTAATTAATAACAAACAACTCAGATGTAAAAAAAAATAAATTCCTAACTTGACAGGTTCTAACCTGTTTTTCCCAATCCTAGTGACAAGGGAGATCCTCCCACAGCTGGTGGCCCCTCCCTATAAACCCCTCTCTGGGTTCCTAGCTCAGGGAAGTGAGTCTCCCCCTACAAACCCCCTTTGGGTTTCTAATTCGGGCCTTCGGAGTCACCTTGCTGCAGGGTTTCTGCCTCCACCCCCCCTTATGAACCCCCCTTGGATCTCTAACTCGGGGAGCCTCTAGCTTTCCTCCAGAGTGGGTCCCCTCCCCTCCCCCTGTCAAAAGGAGGGGCACTCACATATCTGGGGGTCCCCTTTTGTGGCAGTCCCTGGGTAAGTGTCCTTCTCCCTTACTCTGGAGTCCTAGCTCCCCAGACAGCAAACTTGCCCTAAGTCTGTTTCTGGGGAACCGCCCTCCAGGTGGAATTCAGCCCTCCCCTACAAACCCCTTTAGACTCCTAGTTCAGGAAAAGTTCTCTGTAAGTCTCTTGGGTTTCTAACTCAGGAATTAGGCCAAATCCACCCCTTGGAGCCTCCCTCCCTGGGAGGAGAGGGAGCCTGAACGAGTATGGGTGGCTGAAGGAGAGGTACTCTCCGTCTCCCCAACTCCCGGGGGTCCCTAGAGTACTCCGCACCCCCCTTTTGCCTTAAACCCCACTCCCGACACTCACCCACGCATCGGAAGCCTCGCAACCTCTCAGAGGACCATTGAACTCCTGGTCGTAGTTTCGTCTGCAGCCTCAGGTACAGCCAGCAAGCCCGTCAATAATCCCGACGTAGTCCAAGTTCGGGAAGCCAAAAACGAGGCTGGACGCATCACTCCGGTCCTGTCCTACTGAGTGACCACTCTAGGGTCATGGCTATATCCCAGACAAGCCCCCATTAAACTGTTATAAGCAAGGCTCGAGACTTTTTGATGGAATTAAAGCCTGGCCTGTTTATTAATACTGAGCTGCAGCCAAAGGAGAACGCAGGCTAGTCCTCTGTGCTCCACGCTACAAACCAAGACAGCAACAACGTATCTAGACAAATTCCCAAACAGAAAAGCCACTGCTAACACTTAACACCCTATTTTATGCCCTCCCTTAGACCTGGATTGGCCCATTTTGGATCCGTTTCAGGATTGGTTGCTTTCTTGGGCTCTGATTGGTCCATAGCTGCGTTCATCCTGGTCCAGTCATTTCCCCAGGATGTTGAATGATTGGTGGATGTTTCTTCCAATCATTACTCGTGGTGCTGATGGTATCTTCATTCCTTCATGTTCTTGAATGTTCTATTCCAGGCCCCCCATAAGCCCCCTTATATTTCATAAGCCCCCTTATATTTTGTACCAGTCCCCCATTCTATCCACCTGACCCCAATCCAGTATCAACCCCGAACACTCCAAAATCCTTAACAACCATCTTAACAACTTTACAACATAATTAAAGATAGTTAACTTTTATCATAATATCAATTAACTCTCCAACAATAACAACATTAATTAACCTCCCAAGTTCAATGAAAAGAACTCCTATAACAAATGTATCCAACACTCTCTGCTTTCTCTGATTTTTTTTCTGGCATTTTTACAGGTCCATAATTTCTACTGTCATTAATCAGATCTTTTGCAACTTTGCTCCATGTCCAAATTTTATGGTTCCTAGCAGGAGAACGCAATTGTGAAGGTGTCGGCTGAGAGGGGGTGGTGAAGGGAGTAAACTCAGAATCAGTGGAACAAGATGAATCGGTTGAGTTCTCAAGAAATCTATCTAGTCTGTCCACAGAGGTTATAGCTGCTATGGTTTTTTTTGAGGAAAATTGCTGTAGGTTGAAGTGATTCTGGAAGGCCTTGAATTAAAGGGGTGATAATTTCAGTTTTCAGGGGTAACAACATTGATGATTCATAACCAGCAATGAATTTTCTTTTGTGTATCATTTGCAAGCAGGCAGCATTGTGAATGTTTTCCAGTAGTTGGTCAGGGGTACTCACTATAGCAATGGAGTCCCCCCTTTCCAAGGGGTTCAGCCCCTCTGCCCAATAAGCTGCGTGCTGAGTTAGGGACCATGGGTTATGTCTGTCTGCTGCTGTTAAGATGACTTCATGTCCCCAGTTGGGGACATGTCCCCCAAATTTGATCACCTCCAGTGAGAGACACTGGGAATACGTATTCTGTCTCTGACTTGTGAGGGAGATGCCCGTACTCTTTTTTTAAATTTTTTTAACTTAGCCAATTCGGTAGCAGTGTACGGGAGTTGTTTATTTTTAGTGGTTATATGTGGATCAAGATCTTCATCATTGATATAATTATATTCTGTTTTAATTAGAGGTTTCAAACTAGGGCACCAGTGTTCCCCACAATTTAATTTGCTAGATCCTTTTGAGGGTAGATTTGATTAATGAGAGGGGTTTCCCTCTCTTCTGTTTCTTTTAGCGAGTCAGCATTTTTTGGATTGTTATCATGGAGGGCTGCTTGCAACAGACTGATCTTACTTCTTTCTTCATCTAATTGTTTTTGCAAAATTTTAACTAGGTTTTGGAGGGGGTCTATTATAGTTCTTTCCTCACTTCTTTGCTTACAGCGAATCTTTCTAGCTGCTGTAAAACAAGCTCCCAAAACTGAGCAGAGTATAGTTATATTTTTGCCCAGTTTAAATTTTGTTTCATGTTGTCAAGAACATACTCCATCAATCACATTTTCCAAATTAAACCAGTTATTAAGCACCCATTCTTCCCCTCCTGGAGAAGGTCTGGCATTATGTTTTGCTAAGAGAGCATAAAATGCAGCTTTAATTTCTGCACTGCCATTTTCAGTCATTTTTACAAAGGGAAAACCACTACAGGGAGGTATAAACTTAAATGATACACGCACACAGCTTTTCGCTTCCCTGGATGGGTGAGAAGACCAAATCTGCTTGGGAGGCACTCCTTCAGTTTAAAATTCTGGTTGTCTCTTGGCTACACCAAGCAGTCAAAATTCAAACACGCAACAACAAGAAACAACAGTCCCCCCCGCTCCTTTTAGCACTAAGAGATGTTCTGTGAAATTCTGCAGAGAGAGCCCTCAAGTGAGTGTGGGGTGCTTTTCACCTTGGCGTGTGCAGTTTGCAGGAAATTCGAGTCGCCCCCCCTTGCTTTCTAGACCCTGCTCACTCTTTTGGGAGTGTCGGGCTAGGTGCGTGTCGTGGTTTTAAACCAGTAACTAAAAAAAAGATTACTTATTTCTTGCTGTGAGATATGGATTAGAACAAGAGCAAAACAGGCATACAACTTAAAAGGAATAAAGAAAGTTTTTTAACAAACTACAATAATAAGAACACCAGAATAATCTTCCAGAAAAACCTTTTTTATCCTCCACTACCCACTATTCTCTTGTTCACATGACAACAGAGACAAAAACTTTGGAACTTTGATGGTTAAAACAGTCCCAATTCCTGCTACAGTCTTTTCCCAGTCTTTGTAGAGAAACAGAAGTCTCTTTCTGTTAATTTATGGAGTTTCTCACAAGAAAACTACTTCTGTTATAGTTTTCTATTGCTGTGATTTCAGCTGCCCAGAACTGCTGTTATCAGAGCTCACTCCTGCCATTTCACATCACTCTGAGGTGTGTATGGGCCATGAGTCTAGGAATGGCATTTTAAGGATAAGTTATTCAAAGGCAAAAGTCTTATTCATCTGTCTCTGCGAGCTTCACTAGCAAACAGTTTTCTCATTGCCTCTCAAGGCTTCAAATCTTTCAGCACTTCACTGTACCACAATTACTCTACTTTTTACTCAAAATTTACACTTTGAACACTTTATTCCTCCCTACATACTGTATCATGAATTAAAGGAGTTCTTTCAGGACTTTATTGTCCATCTCCATAGCTTTAACAGAAAAATATTTCATCTTAATTAAAGCATCTCCTTATTCTCTACCTTTTCTGAAGCTTCTTTTCTTTTCTGTCACTGGTAGTTTATAAAGTCTCTTTTCATGTTGATCACTCTCTTTTTCTCTCTCTGGATAAAAAGATTAATCTGCAAGTCTCATCTGGGTAATGAAAGAGTTAAAATCTTGCCCAGGCTTTGTAGATGGTTCTGTGACCTCTGCCGGTGCAGGAGCTGGAGCTGTCTTCGATAAAAGATTGCTCATGGCTGTTCTGGAAAGTGTAGTCAACGCCTTAGCCTGCCGCAGGTTCAGAGCCTCTTTCTTTCTTCACTCGTCAGTCTCTGGTGAATTCATTCACAGCAAAAACTGCAGCCAAGCCAGGGAGCGGCCTGGCCCGGCCTGGGCCCGGGAGAAGCCCCGCAGGCCCCATCTCCCAGCCGGGAGCTGCTGGGCCCAGCCCAGACCCTGCCTGGGCCGCATGGGCTGGGCAGAGAAAGGGGGGCCTGGAGCTCTGTTACCTTTCACAGCCAGGAAACAAAGAGACCAAGAGTGCTCTGACTTTACATCTTAAGGTAGGGTTCACAAGTTGATCTCACTTTTCAGTGGTCAAAACTGCTGTCAGTTCCCAGTAATGACTGATAATTGGTCAGGAGAAAAGACTCTCATCAGCTACCAGCAACTTCAACTTCCTTAGCTCTCAAAACCACCTTAAAGGTAAAGTCACCTCATGACAGTGCGGCTGGAGTGAGATGTCCTTCCCCTAATACAGACTACACAACAAACCTTCAACCCCTTTTGTCTGTCAGAAATCCTGTCTGTGACTCCAGTGTAAATGTCACGATTGGCTAACATGAATGGGAGTCAAGAGAAGTTTGTTTGATCTCAGAGTGCAAAAAGGATACAAAGGGATTTCAGTTTAAATCACAACAATAATGCACCTTTATTTTAGTGCCAACAACAAGGGTTATGCGATAGAGGAGAGAGAGAGAGAGGGAGAGATAAAGAAAACAAAGTAAAGGAAGAGAGAAGAGGGGGTTAGAGCTACTAACAGATGAGACGGGGTTGCTGGGTTCTTTTTTCTGTGGGGAGATCTCACTTAAATTAACTTACTTTTATGTAATTCTTCCCCAAAGTTACCTTGTTTCCAATGTGCTAATAAGCACCCCAAAGGAGAAGTACCCAGTATGGGAGCATTGCTGCCCAAAACCCCTTTAAGCTTCTCCGTATTACAACTACAATACACCACAAATGCCAAACCTGCAACGCTTTTGCAGTCGTCTGACGGACGGCGCCTGGGCAACGCCAACAGGAATTCCTTTAGCCCAACCAAGCACAGCTTTTACTGCGTCTTACTGGCAGGCAGCAAACCAAATGAAAGCACCTTAACTTTCTCTCCCAAGGACGTTGTGAGCAGCAGAGATGGTCGCGGCTGATGGGCTCCCTGAGAATCCCTCGGTGCCGGCTGGAGCGTGATCGGGTCGCGAGCTCGCTCAGCAGCACTCAGGAGGTCCCATCTGGGGTCACCAAAATGTTAGTGTCCAGGAACAGACATAATCACAGAATGATTATATGGAGGTGCTGTATTGAAGAGCTCTGGCTATCAGCGGTACACATACCCAAATGTGACCCGACTTGGTCTGTCCCCAAATTTTCTATGATTTTAAAACCTTTCACTATCAATGACGTTTATACCTAAACATCCACCAGATTGTGGCCTGAGAAGTACAAGGCCTTGCATCCCAAGCGGCACCTGTTTCTTCTCCGTGTACAAGACACACTTTATTTGCCACAATTATTATTCAATCATTATTAAACTATTATTTGTTGGCCACAAGAACTACAAAGCCCTTGGCTTTAGCACATTTCCCCCAAATCAGTGACTACGATGTGATGAAAGAACGAGCTTCTGACTGCTCAAACCAAGAGCCTGATTTCCACTTGTTAAACAACATCTCTGTCTATCAGCATAGGCCAACACAGAAGAGCAGACAGACTAGAGTTAAATCAATCAAAACGTTATTTATAAGTGAACACATAAAAAATGAAACTAGGTATAGAAAGAACTATATACATAAAGAAAGAAGAACTATATACATAAAGAAAGAAAGAAGCCTCTACACCGCCTGTTGGATCTCCCAGATCCACCTGAGAGTGCCCTGAGAAGCAGAAACACTCATAAATAAACTGGAAAATACAATTCTGGATCGTGTTCCTCTCTGCAGGTTGGGCACGTGCCGGTGTTCTCCAGGGCAGCAGGGAGGCACGTGCTGCAGAACACGTGGCCACACACAGTTGTGTAAAGCTGTCGTCCACTTTGCATAATCTGGAAGAAAGGAAACAACAACCACATGTATTGGGAGGAAAGAACTGGAGTTTGCTGCTCTATTGGCAGCAGGCAAATGAGACTTGAGAGCATCTGGAATCAGTTAGAAGCCAGGAGGGAGCCACAGATCAGCCAGTGCCATCCTGGCAAGGGCTTGTCCCTCTCCATTCACCAGCAAGAAGGGACTTGTGGAGCTTCCCAGCAAGGGCTGTGCTTCCAGCCAGCTGCCCACATCAGGCAGCTGACTTGGGCAACTCCCCTTTTGGCTTCTTCCTCCTCCCACAAAGCACAAAGGATGACAAGAGGTGCATCCTTACCTCTGAGTAATAGTCCATGCAAATTGGACAGCTAATAACAACTCCTGGCTCTGCACTAGAGGGAACAGAAGCAGAAAGAAGGTGCAGCTGTTAATATCACCCCACTTCAATGGTTATTGATACCTAAAATCACTAGCCCTGGCCC